AGAGAAAAGTGGAAGGGATAACAAGATATAGAACAAAGAACTGAAGAGAGAGAACTAAATCACGAAAAGATTTCCAAAGCCAACGAGGCCTGAAAGAAGACCTAAGCCCAGCACCCTTACAGGGTGAGGGGTGAAGGTGCGAGGGCGAAGCTGAGTAGACACAGGGGTGAAGTCACAGAACAGCTCGGAAAGAAGGTAAGGTCTTTCAAGCACTTACTATCTCACTGAGAAAACAAATGGACCTAAAATCCCTGGCAGATACAGGCAGGTGTCTGCTAGTAAAGGATGCTGCAAACCACTTTACAGATTACTGTAACAGAAAGAGGAACAGGTGGTGATGGAGGGCGCGGGCCACATTTGTGACCTCCACCATTAGGACAAGAAAAAAGGTTTATCGAGGGACAGAAACCAAGACAAGGCTTCTTTAAACCTGCTGGGGATGTCATGCTCCTTTCCAAGCCACTGGAGCTCAGGTGGCCTCGTGGGAAGGAGGTGCACTCCCAACCCAAAGGCAGGCAGGTGGAAGAAAGGTGGGCAATTTTCTCCAGCGCAATGCACAGCCTCTGCAAACTCATGGAGAGACAACCGTGACTCAGTTCTGACTAGATGGCATCTAACCACAACACTCATTTCCCTACAGCGAGCCGCCTTTGGGTAGAAGTTTTCACTGCACAAGCCAATGAATGGAATGTCACCTGATTTAGCATGGTGGGTTTTTCTCACAGCAGGAAATAGGATGAATTATCCCCACACAGACAAGAGTCAAGCACCTATCTTTAGATTTTAAACTCACATTATTAGTACAGATGCTAAAAGGTTGGAGTGATAATCCACGGATGGGGAACTTACCTTCCAAAAAAGCAAATTCATCCACAGCTTCTATTGCATTATCTGAAACACAAAGTAAAGGGCCTGTAACTACCTCTGGTCCTCTGGGTAGCAGCCCCTAGAGGTACAACAGAAGGTATGCAGAGGGCAACTCTGCTTTGCGACCACTGGCCTCCTTCACCCTCTGCCCTCCATGCCTCTGGTCACTTAACACATGCTGTTTTAGGTGCCTTTGAGTCGGCTACAACTCCTAGTGGCCCTATGAACCACCTGCCCTATCCTGTGCCATCTTCACAAGCTCTGGCACCTCGTTTTTTCACTCCCATCTCAAGACATCCCAAGGACTCTACCCAAATCTCTCCTCTGCAGGGTTTTCCTCTTTCCCTGCTGGGCGCAGCAATAGGCGTCTTTTGCGATGGTCTCCACAAACAATTCCTGCAGAGTAAACAAGAGGCGTTTCATCAGTACGTCCCAGCAGCTTCTCCATGCAGTGGCTGTTTGCAGGGAGGAGGGTGTGTTCGAATGTCATCAGTCAATTCCCCTTCCTCCTCTCCCTAAAGCCCAGAGTGACAAGGCCCTCTCCCAGATTTGAAAACCCACCCCCATTCATTCACTTGAGGTTGCCTACAAATTCTGAATGAAACCAGAAAAACAGAAACTGTCACTGTCGGGGTCCCCAAAAGACAGATGTGAATAAGCCAAAAGAACTGCAGGAGTGTGATCCTTTTCCTCTTCCCATCTCCCCATGAGGTCTCAGGATCCTGCCCTAGTACCTCCCTGTTCTAGGCCCCCCAAGCAGAATCCAGCCCCCCAGACCTCCTCAACTCCCAAGCCCTGTCCCACTCAGCCCACAGGAAGGGTCCTGGCCTCTATTGCTCGGCCCACATGGAACGCCCAGGCTCCGGCCAATGCGAAGCCACGTCACGCCCCATCTTCCCGCCCACAAAGTTCTAGCCCCACCCCCTCCCACCTCATCATCCTATCTTTGGGGTGGATTCCACCCCTTAGCTCCACCCCCAAGGAAGTGGCTCCGCCTAAAATGAAGCTCCGCCTCTTCGCTCCGCCCACACGAGACCTCTCGGCGCCGCCTGCTCTCTAGAGCTGAGCCTTTAGGGGGTATTCTGTCCCTTAGCTCCGCCCTCAGGAGAGTGACATCCCCCTTAGCCCCGCCCCCCAGGGGACCTCACCTCAAAGACCCCACACTACCCCTGTAGCCCCACTTTCAGGGGGAGTTCAGCCTGTTAGCTCCACCATCCTGGGGGGGGGCTCCCCTAATGGGCTGCACCCCTCTGTCGCTCCGCCTTCTGAGGAAGTTCCTACCCTTAGCTCCACCCCCACAAAGGCACACCTCGCGGGCTCCGCCCCTAGGCCATCACTCCGTCCTCAAAGGGAGTTCCGCCGCCAGAAGGGCGCCCCTCAATGGCTCTGCCCCTCGCCCGTCGCCCCGCCCCTTAGCTCCGCCCCCACACGGCCGCCCTTACCCACCCCCCCGCTCCACTCTCAGGGAAGTGGCCCCGCCCACAAGCAGGCCCCACTCAGGGCCGCACCCCCTCTCCCCCTCCCCGTCCCGGCCGCCGCACCGCAGCTCGCGCCAGAATGAAGATGGCTTCCTGTCCCGCCAGCGTCACGTCAGGGTCCGCCTTCACCAGGGCCTTCACTCGCGCTAAAGGCAGCCTCGAAAGGCGCGGGCCGGGCGCATTCGCGGGGGCCTGTGACTGCTGGGCCGCCGCCTCGCCGCCGGGACCCTCCTCCTCCCGGGGAGGCCCGCTTCCCGGCGCTGCCGCCGCCATGCCGGCTTTGAGCGTACTGCGCGCCGCTGCCTAGTGAGCGCGCCACTGTGAGCGCGCGTGCGCGCGCGCTGGTGATTCCCGCCCCGCGTGCGCCTCAGGCTCCGCCCCGCGTGCGCCTCAGGCTCCGCCCCGCGTCGCAGGGCAGCTGGGCGTGGCCTCCAGCGCACGTGGGGCGGGACTTCACTCCCTACTAATTCTACCCGAGTTGTCTTCATCACTAAGATTAAAATCACTGCAGTGTCGCGCTTATATCACATTGGTTCAAAAACGATAGTTCTAAGAGCTTTGCACTACTAAAAATGAGGAGACCTAAAGAACTTGCTCTCAATATTAAAACCAATATTGTTATTGTTGTTAGATGCCATCGAGTCTAACACGACCCATAGCGACCCTATGAACAACAGGTGTGAAATCTGACTTGTTCTCTGGCCTCTCCACACTTCCTGCACGGAAGAGTCCACTGCGAGAGTCCAGGTGTCAATCCACCTGGTTGAGAGTCTTCCTCTCTTTTGCTGCCCTCCATCTTTCCAAGAATGATGTCTTTTTCCAAGGAATAGCCTCTCCTAGCAGCATGTCCAAAGCTTCATCTTCGCCTCCAAGAAGCACTTCCTCCAGGACTTACCTATTAGTTTGTTTAGTTGTTTTTATTGTTGATTGCTATCAAGTCAAGCACGACTCATAGCGACCCTTTGAACAAAAAAGACCTGGAGCTTTTCGATAACTATTGTTTCTCAAAGTTCATAGAGTTTCCGGAGGCATGTTGTTTAGGAAGTAGATGCCACTCTTCTCGAACACCACAACTCAAAGGTATCAGTTTTTCTTTTGTCATCCTTACTGTCCAGCTCTTAGATGCATAGCAAGTAATTGGGAAGACTATGGCCTGAATCAGGTGCACCTTAGTCCTGAAGCTAACACCATTGCTTCCAATAATTTGGTTTTTATACTGGTTTATTTACAAAGTTTGAATACATTTTTTTTCACACCATTTCCTTCACCCCTCCCATTAAATTGTGCAACCCTGTGATTAACCCACACACCCTCATCCTCAGCCCTCTGCTCCCCCACTCTTGGATCTTCATACTTCTTCTACAGTAATGGTCTTAGTACTTGTCCTTATGGGACTGAATTAATTCACTTATCATAATTCTCTCCAATCCCTCCCAAGTTAGGTAGTAATTTACAAAATCATTGCTCCTGCATGTTGCATGGTATTCCATTGTGTGAATGTACCATAATTTCTCAATGCATTTGATTGTGTTTGCACATTTGGGTTGCTTCCACGTTCTCAGAAATTACAATTGCAGTTACAAAATGATCAAAAGACATAGAAAGACTTTTCACAGAGGAACATATTTGGAAGGCCAGCAGACACATGAAGAAATGCTCCAAATCACTGGTAGTAAGAGAGATGCACATCAAGACCACAATGAGATAACATCTCACTCCAGTAGCAGTGACAAAGTTTAACAGGGCAGCAAGTAATACATGTTGGAGAGGATGTGGCAAGATAGGAACTCTTATACATTATTGGTGGATTGTATAATGGTACAACCAGTCTGGAAGGCAATTTGGCATTTCCTCAAAAAGCTGAGCATAGACATTCCATGTGATGCAGCTATTCCACCGCTTGGAATATACCCCGAGAGAATGAGAACTGAGGCCCAAATGGAGACGTGTACATCAGTGTTCATGGCAGCATTATTCACCATCACTTCTCAATCATTTGGAGCGGTCTCTGACTGCAGACTTCCCCAGTGCAATACATCTCCTGATCTGCAGACTGCTGGTACCAAGAATGTTGACTGTGGCTTCGAGTAAGAAGAAATTGTTGACCGTCTCAATTTATATATATATGCATGTGCGTGTGTGTGTGTGTGTGTGTGTGTGTATGTATGAATAATACTTTTACTTTAAAAACAGACAACTTGCTTGGTGGGACAAGTACCGTCGTTTTATGCTTTTCTCAAATGTTGCTGCTATGTAGGAGTCCCCTCATCAGGTCGCTATGAGTCATAAAAACACGAATTGGTGGTACAGTGAATGAGGCGCTGGGCCGCATTCCCAGAGGTGGGGTGAGGATGGGCGCCACTGGTTGGGATTTACAAGCTTGGAAACCCCACGGGACAGTTCTTCTCTGTCCTATAGGGTGGCAGTGAGAGAATCCAGGACTCACAGGGTTTTTTAATGTTTGGCTTAAAGAGAAGCAAAGATTCCTTTAGCTTCTGCTGTATATTAGCATTATCATTTTTCTCATAGTTGTTGAAAATTTCCCTGTATCTTTGGGAGAGAATGAGAATGAAAGGAGCAAATAATCTCTTGAGTGTTATTAAGAACATAGCTTTACTTCACTTACTCCAGGGAGTCCTGATGGCCTAGTGGATAAAGAGCTGCACTGCCTACTGAAAGGTACATGGTTCTAACCCATCAGGTACTCCGTGGGAGAAAATAGTCCATCTCCTCCCATGTGTTTCACCAAAAACCCGGGTGGAGGGTCAGCTATGAGTCTGTTCTGACCTGATATTGAAAGGATAAAAAAAAAATCCCTGCCCTATCCTGTGCCATCCTCAGCATCTCTGACACATTTGAGCCCATGGCCACAGTCACTGTGTCAATTAATCCCGTTGAAAGTCTCCCTCTCTTTTGCTGTCTGATGTCTCTTTTTAAAGAACAGCCTCTCCTAGCAACATGCTCAGAGTATGTGAGACAAAGCTTCACCATCCTTGCCTCCAAGGAGCACTCCGGCTGCACCTTAGACATATCTGTTGGCTCTGCTGGGAATCCAAGGCTGTTTACAGAGTTAGAAAGAATAGAGGATCATCTGATTGGCCACCACAACTCCACTGTGAGTGTGTCTGTGGTGGTTTATGCATTACAGTGATGCCGGGAGCTAGGCAACCTGTATTTCAAAGACAAGCAGGTGATACATAGTGGGGAAGGGGATACAGCAGGAAGGAGGGGGTACAGCGGGGAGGGGGATACAGTGGGGAGAGAGATACAGCAGAGAGAGGGATACAGTGGGAAGGAGGTTGGGTCTTCGCACTGGACATAAGGCCAAGGACTCAAGGAAGGGACCAGAGAAAGAAAGGAAGCTAAAGAAACTCCATTAAGGGGGCTCCTGGTGGGATTCCTTGGTCTAGAGAGACAGACCAGAGACAAACCATGCCCTCAGGTGGATTAGGTGGTGCTTTTATAGTGAGGGTCTTTCGAGAAGGAAGGGAGGGACATTCCATTGTGGTTTAGCCAGATGGGTGGTCTTCTGGGGAAGGAAGGGAGGGGACTCCATGGTAGTTTAGTCAGATGGGTGAGGCTGTTCACTCCCTTTGTTGACACGTTGATATTTCTTGAATCCTTCGTTCTCCCTTTGACCTTGATCTGAGCCTGACAGAGGGGACACAGCAGGGAGGGGCATACATGGTGGACCAATTACAGCATTGCTTCCAGATGAAGACATCCTAGGAAAGGGGACAGGAATGTCTACATCTTGGGGGGAAACCAAAACAACCGCCTCCCCCAAAATACTGTAACCACTGAAAACCTTAAGAATAGCAGCAAAGCACAAGTCCAGCAGATGAGCCCATCAGGCAGAAGGCCTTCAAAAGACCACTGAGGAACACGGGAACAGATCCCTCCTCAAAGTAGTCAATTTTAGCAACATGAATGGAGCAAAGTCTTCAACACCTTCATCCACTGGTGTAGCGTAAGGTTGTTGTTGTTGTTATGTGCCGTCGAGTCGTTTGCCACTCATAGTGACCCTATGTACAACAGCCCTAAACCCTGTTCCATCCTGTACCAATCGCACTGCCTCTGACACATCCATCCCGATTACCCCAGTCAATGAATCAATCCACCTCATAGAGGGTCTTCCCCTCTTGCGCTGTCCCTCCACCCTCCCAAGCATGATGTCCCTCTCCAAGGACCTGTCCCTCCTTTCA